TTTTTTCCGTCCGATTGGCAATCCTGTCGTCGTTCTCGCTCCGCCTAACAAGAAAAAATTGAAGAAGTCAAAACTTGACCCCAAGGGGGAGACGGGACGATTAATTGGGTTTAATCCCGAGCTCAAGTCTTATCGAATAATCACCGATGACAACCTCATCGTTAACTCAAAGAGTGTTACCTTTCTCAACTTCACTCCCACCGACAATCCCATCAGTGACCATGATGAGCTTCTGGTGGATGATCACAATGAAGGGCCGGTCGAAGTCACCTTCCCGGCTGAGAAAGAAGAAGATGAGGAAGTTGAAGACAAGGATGAAATAGACAGCCCAACTAATTCTGAAGCAGAAGACAACTCCGACTCCACAAACGGTGACGACTCTTCTGAAGACGATGATGAGGTAGCCAGTTCTCTGATTCCTGAACCCGAAGCTCCACTCGGAAGAATCTTGAGAGACCGCACACTGCAGGTCAAGCCGGTCAAGTACTCACATTTCTCAGAAGATCCTACTTCCTTCAAAAACGCCGTCTCGGGTGCTAATGCCGAAGGTTGGACCATGGCTATCAAAGACGAGCTGGACAACATCGAAAGACATGAAGTCTGGCTTGATCAAATGACTAGGCCGAAAAAACTTAATCACACCTGGGTCTTTAAGACCAAACCATCCACTCTCTCCTCTCCCGAAAAACAGAAGGCTCGACTTTGTGTTCAAGGCTTCCTACAGATGTACGGAGAGGATTTCTTTGAAACTTTTGCACCTACTGGAAAATTTCCCTCTCTCCTTGCTCTTTTGGTTCTTGCGATCGATTTCCAGCTCTCAATTAAACAGTTTGATGTAAAGAGTGCATTCCTTTTTGCACCTCTCGAAGAAGAAATCTTTATCAAGACTCCAGAGGGATCCACAAGGACGGCTCCCTATCACAAATTGGTCAAATCTCTGTATGGCCTGAAACAGGCGCCGAAAAATTGGTATGAGACGTTGACTAACTGGTTTGAAGAAGTTGGGTACCTTCCCTCGACCTCTGACGCCTGTCTTTTCATCCACAAAGAAAAAAACTCTTTCATTTTCTTTCACGTTGATGATCTGATCGTGGTCGGGCAAGTGGATCAATTTGAAGTTCTCTTCCTCAAACGCTTTCCAAACTCTACTGCTCATTCGCCCGATACACTTCTGGGGATGAATCTTAATGTGAAGACTGACTGCATTGAACTCTCTCAGCTCGCACTCATTGATAAGGGTCTGGAATTGCTGGATTTGAAGGACTGCAGAGCCGTGAAGACTCCTCTGACTCCCGCTATTCAATTACATTCTGCAACTGACGAGGATCACGAAGACTTTCTCAAACTTAACATCAATTACCGGTCTTTCACCGGAATGCTCAATTATCTGGCGTGTCGTACCAGGCCTGATTTGGCTGCCGCGGTTTCCATCCTCTCCAGGTTTAATCAGCGGCCCGGTCTCAGTCACTGGAATGAAGTGAAGCATTGCTGGAAGTACCTCAAGGGTACCAAGGAGCGTGGACTGCTTCTCAAACCGGATGCTGAATCATTTGTGGATCGATTGAATTTTTTTACGGATGCTACCTGGGCTGAAGATCAAGAGACTCGGATTTCTCAGAGCGGATCTCTTGCCTTCTGGAAGTCTTGCCCTATCTTGTGGAACAGCAAGAAGCAGAAGAATATCACAATGTCATCCACGGAATCAGAAATGAACGCGTTATCTGATGGGGAGCAGGAAAGCCAATGGCTAAAATTTTTGATAGAAGAACTTTGGAAGAAAACGCTGGCTCCTACGCTTTTTTCGATTGACAATAAAGGACTGCTGGAAAAACTAAAGAACTTCGGGTCGAATTCGAAAACCAAGCACCTTGACATAAAAATCAAAAGTCTTCGTGAAAAATTCAAAAAGAAGGAAATTGATGTCAAACTCATTACATCTGAAGCGATGCTAGCCGACTCTCTTACCAAAGCCGCGCCGCTTGCCTCTGTCCAGAAGCTTCAAGACAAATGCCTCTCAGCTCTTTCATCATCAAACAAGGAGGGCTGTTGAAATTTCACAGTAGTGTCACTCTAGATTCACTCAAGCTCAGCTCTTGATCCGCAGCAAGTAATGATAACTGAAATTCAACCGCTTAGGGTTGAATTTCCTGAGAGTTAAAAAAGAACATCTCTGTCGGTCTCTGTAATCTCCAGACTCGACAAGATACTCGACCTCTCAACTTGCTCTAGATCAACGAACTCCGCTCAAGATCCTTTCGGCCCATTGTGCCCTTTTCAATCACTCAAGACCTTCCAGTATTGATTCTCGACTCCTCAGGAATCCAATAAAAAGGCGCTATCAATTAAACTTCATATCATCACCTCCGCGTGCTGTTTGTCTCTCTTTTTTCTTCTTCTCTGTTCTTATCTTCTCTTGTTGTTTGTTGATGAAATCGCTGATCTCTTTTCTTTCATCATCTGTGTTTTCTGTTCTCTTCTTTAGTTGATTATATTTTAAACTTTTCTTCTTGCTTCTGCTCAAAGTCCTCATTCTCTATTCATTGATTCCATCCTCTTAGTGGTATGCTTTTTCTATCAATTCTTCTTCTCTTGATTCTTTTTCCTTATTGTCTTGTTTTCTCATCATTTTTGTTTCTAGTTTGGTTTTGGTTCTTAGTCATCAATTCAACATTTCTTCATTCATTTCTCCTTTTTCATGGGGCTTTGGAGGTTAAGGATAATTTTCAAAATTGTCTAAAATCAACAGTGGGCCGCTACGCTACACTACACTATTTGACCACTAACTGTTAGTGTAGTGGCCTTTTTATTTCCTGGAAATTCTGTAGTGTTAGCTGACGCTAAACCCCACTACGCTAACTGTTAGTGTAGTGTAAATTTTTCTCTCAAATTTTTTGGTAGTGTTAGCTTCAAATAATCTCAGCTAAACTAACAGTTAGTGTAACTTTTTTTGCGCTAACAAAATTTTGACTGTCAGATAGTGTAACTGATTTAAAGCTAACATTTAGTGTAACTTTTACCAAATTAAGCTATGCTACACTACACTACATGCCTAGTTACGCTACACTACGGTAGAAGTTACACTACACATGTAGTGTAGTGTAAATCATCAATTAGAGAAATTGACATGCCAAGTGAGAATTTATGCTCTTGAACCCTCTTCCTCTGCTTTCTGTTTTCAATGGACAAGTTGTGTGAACTGTCCCTATAACTGATACGGCCAAGGTCCATAGTGATTATTTTCAATGTCCTATGATCACACACAATCCCGCAGAAAATGAACAGCATAAGATGTAGAGACAAACAAACGGAGGATGTTCCTGGTGAGATTTGCTACAGACCCTTGTGGTTGTAAGGTTAGTTGGGTGGTAGTTGCCATGGTTCATGCCAACAGCTCCACCACACTCTGGTGATACATCATGGTTACACCTCAACTCCCCCCCCCCCTCCCCCCTTGCTACATGATGTGAAAGTGGAAATTGAACAAGTGTGGGAATGGAACCCAGTAAAGTATGATCTGAGGGGGAATTGAACCCATAATCTCAAGGTATTCTGACAGGGGAATGTGGACTTACAAGTAAGTGTTAAAAATTGGCAGGGGGCTAAAATTGAGTGCCCACATTACTAACTGAAAAAATCATGATCAATTAAGGGGATCTGGATGTAGGCCCCCCAATCAGGCACTGTCTTCAGGGTAGACTAATGCTAGTCATGTGGTCATGTAACTTTTAATCAGTTACGCTAACAGTTAGTGTAACTTTTTCACCAGTTACGCTAACAGTTAGTGTAACTGAGGGTACCACTACGCTAACTGTTAGTGTAACTTTGCAAAAAAGTTACACTAACATGTAGTGTAGTGGGATCACCCACTAACACCGCTAAAAATTCACTAACAGGATTTTGGGTAGTGTTAGTTGTGCCTTTTTAAAGGTAGCTAACACTACGCTAAAGTGTTTTTTTTTCAAAAATCCTGTAGTGTTAGTGGGCCAAAAATTCCCGCTAACGGTAACTTTTGTGTAGCGTAGCTTAAAAAGCTAACACTACGGTTAGTGTAACTGGCCCACTGTTGCTAAAATGCAGGTTTTGATAACCCAGTCACTCAAGAATCCCTAAATTGGAATTTAATTTTTATGTTTATTTTCCACCCACTTTTGAAACGCCCAGTTTTCTGCGTTTACACCCAGATTTGGTAAAAATCACCAAATTGACAACTCCAGGTCAAGGACCATAAACCACCTTGGTCATGGGGGTTTTCACCCCTACATGACCAAGGAATCTAGCTCAGTCATGGAGGTTTTCACCCCTCCATGAGCAAGTAAACCACCACGTCATGGAGGATTGAACACCTCCATTACCAAGGTGTTTTACTCGGTCATGGGGGTTTTCAACCCTACTTGACCAAGGAATCCGGCTCGGTCATGGAGGTTTCCACCGCTCCATGATCAAGTGAAACACCTTGGTCATGGAGGTGTTCAATCAGGTTCAATCCTCCATGACCAATCCGGCTCGGTCATGGAGGTTTCCACCCCTCCATGACCAAGTAAAACACCTCCGTCATGGAGGTGTTCAATCCTCCATGACCAAGTAAACCACCTTGGTTATGGGGGTTTTCAACCCTACATGACCAAGGAATCCGCCTTGGTCATGAAGGTTTCCACCCCTCCATGACCAAGTAAAACACAATTGTCATGGAGGAGTGACCCCTCCATGACCTAGGAGACCATCTCGGTCATGGAAGAGGTCACTCCTCAATGATCAAGGTGATTTTTAATTCCTCCATGAACGATTCAACACCTTGATCACGGAGGTTTAACTCCTCCATGACCAAGGAAAGCCCCTTGGTCATGGAGGTGTTCACTGCTCCCTGACCAAGAGGAACAAATATATTTTCCAACTTGGCCAAGGAGGTTGTACAGCCTCCATAGCAACCAGATTATGATGATTAATACAAAGAATCTCAAAAACCAAGTTGGCGTCATCCTACCGGAAACTTTGAGCCCCCGATGGAAGGGAAGCCGGTCTTGAGAGCTCCAACTTTGAATTGGGATTCCAAAGGCCCCAGGGAAGTCTCCTCGACCAAAGAGTTCTTCAACTTGCTTGCCAACCTTGAAGTGGACCTCAAGGAACTCTCACAGATGATCAGCAAGATGAGTGATCTTTTGAAACGATCCCTGGACGCCTCATCCAAGTCAGATCGTGAACAAATCCAAGACAAACTGGCCCAGCTGAGCGACGACATTCGCAGATTATCAGCCCAGATCAAACAAGCCATCCAGTCCTTCGAAGCCGATCACAGTCTGCTCCGTCAACGTGGAGACCCCGATGGAAACCTCTCAGTCCGGATGGACCAGCTCGCCGCACTCAAGAAGTGGTTCATCAAGACCGTCCAACACTATGCTGAAGTCAAACAAGCCGCCAGACGGTCCATGAAGTCCCGCATCAAACGTTGTGGTAAGCCAATCTTGAATAAGAGGCCCACAAAATCAAAGCTTCAAGCACATAATCAAGCCCTCTGGATGACAAGACCCTCAAGGACCAAGGCAAGCCCCTTCTGCAATATTCAGCCAACCTGAAACACCATGGATGTCACAAGACCAAGCCCCCTGGACAGAAGACAATCTGGATTCTCATTTCATTTCATTATTACATAATCATCTGATGCAGTCTTACATCATCAATCCCCTTTCAGCCTTCCACACTTGGCCTCTGCATGTGTTTCACTCTAATCCAATTTCACTCTAGTCTCATTTCCACTTTGGGCCACATGCTATTGTTTCACACTATTCCTCTTGGGTTATTTTCATGTCTCACACTAGTACACATCTGGCTAGTTCATTCATCTCTTTGGTATATTCTTCCTCCCTCATTGGTTGTGGCACATTTCATCCCTGCATGTCTCTGATGTCATTTTCCCCATTTATCTTAGTGCCTACCAATTGGGCCACATTGTTTCAGTTTGATAATTTTCTCTTGTTCCATTTTGTTCCATGGTGTTTCCAACCACAAGCCGGCCACTCCCCAGATTTTGTATATAAGGAGCCTTGTTTTTCCCTCTTCATTTGTTCCTCATCAGCTCCTGCCCCAGCAATCCAGATAACTGATCACCCTTCATTAGCCTAGTAGTTGCCCATCAACATTTGGGATACTAGTATTATTCAGACAGAAGACCAGAAGACAGAAGACATACCCATCTCAAGAATCCTCCAAAGCCACACCTTTCCTTAAGAGTCCATACTATTATCTTTTCTTGTTATCTTACTCAACCCAGTTACCAGAGAGGCAGCCCATTAAAGGATCTTTCCCTCTCCAGCTCTATTCATCCCAAGAGTAGTTCCACAACGTCAAGTGAGGATCGTCAAGCCTGATGCCGCTCCAGAAGAAGCTCGGGCGGCAGTGGAAGACCAAGTCAAAGGCGGTGGAACTGTTTGTTTTTTTTCCAATTTTACTCTGGATCTACCACTCCTAACTCCTTTCTAAAGTTTTTTTACAGCTCACCTTGCTGGCTCTAATCGAATGGGATCCGTCCAAAAAGCTCTCAAAGAAGTCCAATCTTGTGCCGAGGACATCAAGCGTATTGAGCAGACCATCTTGGAGCTAGCCCAGATTTTTAATGATTTAAGCACCCCCATTCATAAACCCGCTGTCCAACAAACACCAAAAAACACAAATTGACCACATCCCGATATCGATAGATGGCTACCATGGTCGAAGAACAAGACGTCAAAGTGTAACACATTGAGAAACAGGCTGAGGTTGCTAATCAAGACATGGAGGAAGCGTGAGTGTTCCCTCCATCTATCCAACTATCTCTCGTAAGCATGGTGCTAATTGCTCGGGTTGGTTGATCTATCAGGACCACCAAATTGAAGACCACCATTGTTTCTGCACAAGGTGCCCAAAAGAAGCAGAAATGTTGTTGCATCATCATAGCCGTCCTAATCAGTAAGTCTCATGCCACCCATCTTTCAGCTCACCAAATCATCAAAAATAAACAAGCATCCTGACATCTTTGTGTTTTGTAGTTGTTCTGGGAGGAGGAGGGGCAGCATTTGCGCTCTACAAGACCAGCATCATCCCGGGCTTTGGGACCTTGCCATCTGCAGCTACTGCAACCAATGGCACTCATACCGCTTCCGCTAACTCCACGTCTCCTTATTCCGGCACATCAACCGGCTCGTCCACCTCCTCAACTACCTCCAAACTTCCTTCCTCTTAATCCTCCCCCCCCCTCTCTCTCTCTCTCTCTCCATCCTTGCCCCTTTCTCCTATTATCCCTTGTATCCTCTTCTCTTTACTCGCACTTCAACCTTGTTTTTATTCCTCAAAGGGTTTCTCACGTCTCCGTATTCCGGCACATCAACCGGCTCGTCTACCTCCTCAACTACCTTCAAACTTCCTTCCTCTTAATCATCCTCTCTCTCTCTCTCTCCATCCTCGCTCCTTTCTCCTATTATCTCTTGTATCCTCTTCTCTTTACTCGCACTTCAACCTCGTTTTATTCCTCAAAGGTTTTCTTTACTCCTTTTCCGCTGTTGCTTGCTCTGTATTTTTTTACATTGTAGATGTTGTGTATTTCTTCCTCCCTGTTCTTTTTTCATCTCCTTCTTATTATATCATTCCAACCAATCTTGTTTTTTTTGCTCTTGACATGTCAGAACTTCACATTGTATTGTCTTATTGTTCGCGTGTTTTTTGTCGAGACGATCTGCCATCAACTTCTGACTTCTCTCACTTTATTTCTTTGTTCTCATTATTTATTCCTTTTGACAATTATTATCAGTCTTTTATAACCCCCCTTTTTTGTTTGCCAACCTTTCCCCCCTTTTTTTTCTTGTTCATTAGGGGGTAACAAATACAACCAAATCCACCATTATTTAATTGACTGGTTTGAAAAAATTCACGTTTTTTAAACATGTTGGTTATCCATTTAACCCCTTTTAGGGCCCATTTATGGAAAAAAAGTTTTTAGAAAAGTGACTGGTTTCTGATGGTGGATTTCCTATATTTAATACCCCCTATTGTTTTATTTTGTTGTGAGCTGTTCCCTTTTTCTTATTTTTTTTCACACCCAAGATCAAAAAAAAAAAAAACTCAAACTAATTCTTTCTAATCTGTACACTTTTCTTTCTCCCTTACATTATACTTACATACATACACCTACATGCATAAATACTCAGGGTTTTTTGTTTTTGTGGTCCAATTGGTAAATGTTATTTTTATACTGCAGATCAAGAAAAAAAAAATGGAATTACATACAGTGGTGCATTTTTTTTTGTGTCATTGTCCAGGAAAACCAGATTGGGTCTGTGATCTCTTGTAAGCACTTATAAGAAGAAAGATTGTGTATGTACTATTTATGTCATTTCTTTCTTTCTTTTTCTTTTTCTTTTTTTTGATGGGAGGTGGTACAGCAACAGGACCCAGGAAACCACCTGAAGATGTGGGTCAAGTACAAAACTCCCAGGTTTTCAGAAAACTCATGGCCTCATTCATACACATTTAATTGTGCAGTTAACCATAGCCAAAAAATTCATACAATTTTTGTGTTTGTAACCTTTTTTTTTTTTTTGGCTGGAGGCTAGCATTTTGTGTATATTTTTGTTTTTTTTGTGTCTGTGCTGTTGTTTTCATGCCAGAAAGCACATATGTAGCCAAACTATTTTTGATACAGCTACATAGTCATTCCTGCTTGCAAATTGGGCTTTGAAAAATAAAAAGAAGGACTCTAGAAATCTTTGTGGTTGCATATAACAGTAGTATGTAGTGGGAGGAACTTTCAGTTATTAGCTTTCATCAGCTTGATCTTTCTTGTTGAGGGATTTGATTCTTGGGAATTCTTTTTGCCAAAAACTGACAGGGGGGGATTAAAAAAATCTGACAGGGCTGACATAAAAAAAACTGATGGGTCACTGACAAGGGGAGGGGGGGGTGCAAAAAAGAAGAAGAAGTGTTAGAATAAGCCGCAGCTATATATTTTAGGGAAAAGAATGTCTAGACTGTCAGATTTCGAGCTCTGTCTCAGAGGCCGCAAAGAGGTGTTGCAAGGAGAGCGTTTCAAGGTGTTGCAATGAGAGCGTTTCAAGGTGTTGCAAGGAGAGTGTTTCAGCCTCCTCCTCTCAGGGTAAGAAAGAGCTCAAACAAGCCTGAAACAAAATGTAGCAAAGTAACTTATCCCTGCCTGAACCCTTCTTCTGATCTAAAGCAGATGAAAGGTGTCACACAACGGCAAGGAACTGCACCCAATCCGGGACGCCCAAGGAGAATTGTACCAAGCTTGTGCCCACTGAGGACAACAAGGGGACAGATCTGTGAGTATAAAGGAAGCTCATGATTTGCGTGTCCAGGACAATTATCCTCAGACTAACCAAATCAATCGCTCCTTTACTTAAAATCATCACAGAACCATTTCCCACCGAATAACCTCCAAATCACTTGCCAACCGCATTAGTCTCCAAACTACCAAGTAAGCTTCCCATCAGGATGAATTTGCTTGTGACAATAAAACTAATCGGTGACCTTAAAAACTTAAACAGACAACAATCTAACAAGCCTTTGACTTAGGAGTCCTACCATAGTGCTTACCGGCCATGACCCTTTCTTAAGTACGAGCAGAGATAGGGAATGCTTGACCTCAGACTGACCAAGTCCTCTTGGACACGCTGCGATCTAAAACAGATACATTTTTCTATCTCACTCGTGCTCTCATCCTTCACCTTAATCATCTCTTGCTTGTGCCCTGTTTCACTCAAAAACACAAAAGCATCATAAAAAACGTCTCCTTCTTTCTATCTTCTCTCATAATAACGCTCATTGATACTAAGACTAGTCCTTCTCTTAGGTAAAGAGTCTTTTCTTCTTCGTCATTCACATATAAGATTGTACATAGTCACTTGAATCTAATACAATTGTTATCCTGCTCTTAGTTGCCATAAATTTTACATAGACCAGGATTCAAACTTGAGACCTCAGCATTAGCTAAGCCTAAGTCACTTTACTAGGAGTGATACCTTTACAACACAGCCCGCAAACAGGTGACAAAAACTGGATTTCATCACGCTGATGTTTTTGCGGAAACTCACCCGCAGTGACTGTGGCTACTGGCACAGTCACACTCCAAAAAACATCACCACAACAAAATATTGATTTTGTCACCTTCTTGCGGGCTATGCCACTAGGCTATCCAGTCTTGTCCAGGATGTTGATTTATATGATATGATTCCTATGTGTTAGTGCCACCAACTTGATTGTGTACATGAATTGATTCTATTCATGACATATGATTTTTATGATGTATGATGACACAGGTTGACACAATGGATTTGTATTTCAACAAGAATAATAATAATAATAATAATAATAATAATAATAATAATAATAAATCATGCATTTTGGGTTACTAACCTTCATTGTTCCCCAAAGATTCCACACATTTCAGACAAGTGACATTTTTCCCAAAAATACCCTGCATTCATACATTTTTTGGTGAGTATCATTGTAGGTTTTTGGCTTGCCCAAAAATTTATACATTTTGGTTACTGAGATTTATGGGGGGGGGGGGGGTACCTGGGTCCTGCAGAAAGGGTTTTAGTTTTCCTGATCAATTCCAGTTGTTTGGAATTAGGTTTTTGCAACCCCAGCATTCTAAAGAAAAGCTGTCCATTTACAGAAAGTATCACTGATCAGTGACTGAGACCTTACAGCCTATCTTTGAGAGTTTTCTTCCCATTTTTTGATGGGATGTGTTGCAGCAACAGTTTGACTAGTCCTTTCTAGTTGCTTGGAGTTTAGGTTTTGGCGACCCCAGTATGAGAACAGCTGTCCATTTACAGAATTCTACACCAAGTGTGACTGAGACCATAAAGGAATCAGGAATTGTATCACAAGCTACTCAGTATTCAAGTGCTTCATGGGTTTTATTGGGTGTCAGTGATGGGCTTTTCAAGGCTATAAAGCCAGCTTATTCTTGAAAGATGGACAGTTTGGGAACTAGGAATCCATCCATACTCCATATCCCTTTCCCCAAACTTCACAATGCTGCTCCAATCACTTCTTCTTAGCCTGTGGTTCATCACAATACCAGCAGGTTGCAGGGGGGTTGATAAGCGCACGCCAACCCCCCAAGGCGCACGCCAATCTGCACGCCACTTGCAGATTGGCGTGCAGGCCCACACGCCAAAGCAGATTGGCGTGCAGGCCTGCACGCCAATCTGCAGCAAGGTTCTTGGCGTAGATTGGCGTGCAGGTCCTAAACCCATATGAGTATGGGTTTAGGACCAGGGCTATCCCATAGGACCCAGGCATGGGTCCTATGGGATAGCCTACATATTGTAAGAGTTTAAAAAAAAAAAAACTTTCGATCCTTGTAGGACACCGGCAGGTGTCCTACAAGGTCGACAACTGGCCGGCGAGGTTGTACAACCTTGTCGACCAGGAGGGAATCCTGGCCGGCGAGGTTGTACAACCTCCTCGCCGGCCAGGAGGGAATCTTACTGGTCGACGAGGTGGTACATCCTGGCCGGCAAGGCTGTACCACCTCATCAACCAGGAGGGAATCCTCCTGGCCGGCGAGGTTGTACAACCTTGTCGACCAGGAGGGAAAGCTCGTCGGGAGGGGCTCCTCCCGACGAGCTGCTTCTTATACCAGCTCGTCGGAAGGAACCCCTTCCGACGAGCTGGATTATGTACCAGCCTCGTCGGGAGGGGTTCCCCCCGGAGAGCTGCTTTTTATACCAGCTCGTCGGAAGGAACCCCTTCCGACGAGCTGGATTATGTACCAGACCTGTCCGCAACGGCGTTCTCTCCGGGAGACCGTGTATCTAAATACCAGCTCGTCGA